ATCTTCCGATAATACCAAGGTTTAAAATAATGTTTGATTCAATGTACAGTACAAGTCAAATGACATGGCATCATACAAACAAATTAAGTTCATGCATTATGCGACATCCATCTGATAGCGAGGCATAGAAGCACTTTGATCGGGCACATCTTGATTTTGTCGCAGAACTTAGAAATGTATGGTTTGGACTATGCTCTGATGGTTTTTCTCCATATGTCCAAGCGTCGGGAACTGCGTATTCTTCTTGGCCAGTTATTGTAACCCCTTACAACCTCTCTCCTAAGATGTGCATGACAAAACCATACATGCTTTTGACGTGCGTCATTCTAGGGTCGTCTAGTCCAAAAACTAGAATCGATGTGTGCTTACAACCTTTAATTGATGATGTGAAGAGGTTGTGGATTGGAGAATAAACTTATGATATATCTTGTAAGCAAAACTTTACTTTGTGAGTTGCGTTGATGTGGATCATTAACGATTTTACAGCATATGGCATGTTGTCTAGTTGGGGTACGCATGATAAAATGGATTGTCTGCATTGCACGGGATACACCAAGGCGTTTACGTTGGATAAAAGGGGGAAAGCTCGTGGTTTGACAATCACTGCAAATTTCTATCAACAAATCATCCTTATAGAAGAAACAAGAAAATTTTCAAAAGACACACGAATAACAGATTTGCCTCCACCTCGATTGTCACCAAGTGCTATATGGAACCAAGTTTGTGAACTACCAAAATTCACAGATACTGACAAAGCATGTAGAATTGAAGGATATGAAGTCACACACAATTGGACAAAAAGAAGTATATTTTGGGACCTTCCGTATTGGAGAGATGATTCGTTGCGCCATAATCTAGATGTTATGCATATTGAGAAGAATTTTTTTGATAATGTATTTAATACAGTGATGGATGTTAAAAGATAATGAGAAGGCTAGACAAGACAAGGAAATTTGATGTAATCGTAAAAAATTAGAGTTGAAGCCTAAACCGAATGGATGTTATAAACGACTTTCTGACATACTACGACGTGTTAGAAAGCATGGGAACTTCTGGGTATCCGTCCCAATTGGATAGGAAAAAGAAGTTTTTGAGGAGCTTCTTAAATATTGAGAGACGCCATAATTTCAGGCTAAATTTGAAAATGCAAAGAAGATGAGAGCATCTGAAAAAGGGGTTGCCTTAATGCAATTGGAATTATAGGTACATCTGAGCATGTTTGACGCATGGTAATTATTACCATTTTTAAGCTATATTTTAATTTATATTATATTTTATTAATTAAAGTTAATTTTATTATTTAGACTAAGATTTTTGGGAGATTACCACTGATGATTGAGCTGATTAAAAAGACTCGGATAAAAAAAAAGGGAATTTGTTGACGAACGTACACAAAAAACTATTGTAAGTTATTTAATTAACTTTGTTTATATATTATTTTAATTTAATGAAAACTTTGTGATGTGATTTTCATGTGGCAACTGAGAAGTTGTGGTGTGAAAATCACGTAGCAATATTTCATATATTATTTAATTTAATTTAATTTAATTTAAGTTATATTTAACTTAATTTTTTATCGAATGTGTAGGAGGATTATCAGGTGTTGCTTGCACAATTTTTGACTTATAATCCTCAGTATACTCCGAGAGAGAGAGAGAGAGAGTTGTTATATCCAGATGTAGATTTTTATATTTGGGGTCAAGTCAATGGTGGAAAGGGGTCTAATAGTTGTTTTTTGGTGGTGAAAATTTGGTGGGGACCTTGAAAAGTGGGGATAGAATTCTATTTCAAAGAGTTAGAGATAGGGAATGAGGGTCACATCAACCAAATTTGATACTGGAACAAGTAGAAACAGTAAGACAATTGGTGTTAAATGAGGCGAGATGCGAGTCAGCACAATATGAGACGGCAATAAAGACTCAAATGGAGGTCCAAATAGAGACAACGAAACAAGAGCAACATCGACAAATAGAGACAAACCAGATGATTTAGTTCTTACAAAAGAACAACAAATGCAGTTGGAAAGAGTTGTCACATTTTTCAGTTGAATCTTTTTTACCTAAAAAGTTTATGGGATTTGAAGCAATACATGTGAAAGTATATAATTGTAGAGATGATTATGTGAGGATTAATAATGGGTTTAGAGTTGGCCACTTAACTACGGAGCTAAATTCTGATAATTTTGGATTGTGATTATAGTTTTGTTTGTTCTATTTTGTATAGAAGTGCTTCTTCTTTTTTTGTGTGTGTGGTTGAAGAGTACTATAAAGTAGTTTTGTTATGTGCTTTGCAAAGACAGGGGCATAAATTGTGCTAGAGAATATATTTATCTCATGAATAGCTATGATATATTTTTGCAATTTTGGGTAGATAGAGCAAGCAATTAAGGCTCACTGTTAACAATTTATTTTTTGTTGGTTTGAAATAAATATTGTGAAAAATATTGTACAGTACATGGTTGGTTTTTTTTGTGTCAAGGATCAATAGAGACTTCTTAAATCAAATATTTAGTTGTTACCTAAACATTAGAAGTATGCGGTAGGAGTGTTCGTCGTGCGGTTTGAACGGTTTTGAGGTAAAAAATTATTCGAATTGTAAGAGAAAAAAATATGTGATTCGGTTTGATTCGGTTGGCTTCTAAAAATAAATCTGAATTAAATCGAATCAAATTAATGCGGTTTAGATTGATTCAGTCGATTTGTTTTTTTTTTATTTTTAAATTAAATCATATATACACATATAGAGGAAAATATAAAGAAAATTGTGAAAATAAATTACATGTTAGTATCAAGACAATATTTATCTATTTATTTGATAAATTGTGTCAAATTTTAGATTTATAATATGAATTTAAATATATAGCAAAATAAGGTGATAGATTCTGTGTCGTAGGGTGATGGAACAAGGAATGAAATAACCTATACGTTCATAATTCGATAATAACGATATTGTTAGATTATTGTGATTGACGATATGGAATGTTGATTAGTGGTATTCGAAAAGTTGTCAAATATGATATGGAAGTTAGAGAGAGTCTCTTTTCTACGAGGAAAATAGTATTCAATTATTAATATTTATAGTATTGTTATACTTTGTAGTCACTGAACTATATTGTTGATTCTCATAAATGTAAATCTTGCTAAATCTCAAGAGCAAACATTCTATGTCTACTATCAAAAACACTTAATGCATACAAGAACAAAAATCATTTGACAATTGAAACTACAAAATTTAAGAACTTGGTTTCAAAGTGTTTGCAATGCCAATCACAAATCGATATTTGACATCTGCTCTGAGGAGTTTTTCCATTACAGTGTTAACATACTCCACGGGAATGACTTCATTTCAGGTTTTATATCATATTTAGCACTAAAATCAATCATCTTTTGAGTCTCTTTCAACCCTCTCCAATCATACTTGCAGCAACCAACTTTCTCCCTGCCAATCCATATTACCATCATCAAAATCTCATTGCTTCTAATATAATTACAAGAGATCAATAAAAATATTTTTCATATATATGAATGTTTACCTTGAAGTAATGGAAAGACAAGAAGCTCCAAAAGCTTCTCTGGTGCACCAACCATTATAAGTTTTCCATGAGACTTCAGTAACCTAATTAGAGGTAAGATTGGATGATTCGTCGAAATTGTATCAATGATACCATCCAAAGTACCTATTGCAACCTACAAAGTTATCGACATATCTGGTTAATAAATTTATTACCAATTTATCAATGCCAATTTTTGAAAAAATCATAATATTAATCTATACTTGCATTTTATCTTGGTCGCGGCTTATCAAAAATGAGTCAGCGCCCAAGTGCTCTATTGTTTCTTTTTCTTTGTTAGGCGATGTACTAATTACAGTAACAGTATAAGATTATCAGTAAACTACGGACTTAAGTGAGATTCCCTCTTATGAATAGACTATGAGTCGTACCAACAAACACTCATGAGTATGCATTAGTGATCTAAAACAATATAAATGCTAATTATATAAGTGCTTATCTAAAAACTATTTTTTATAGTAAAAGATAAAGTAAAGTCAAATTGTATGATATTTCCTGTATGTCTTAGAAGCCAAAGAAATCTGCAATACTTGCTTATGTGACTTTGAAACTTAACACTTAGGTCTAAATGTCAAGATTGTGTGATCTTAAGGGTACAAGGTCCCGCATGCCAAGGGAGTAGGTAGCTGATGCAAAGAGAGAAAACAATTAAAGGTCAATTATCATAAACAAACAATTGAGCAATAGAAATGCTTAAGGTATAAAGGTTATCGACAGTGCCAATGAAGATGCAAATAACTACTATATTGTAGTCAAGCTTAAAAAGTTTATACCCATGATTGGTTGGGTTGGAATGATGTAGCTAAGCATATTTCACATGTTCATTGATTTAGACAATTACAAGAAGCATAAAAGCATCCCTAGGTGACAATTGTATTACATATTTCTAGGAATGCTTATGATAGCAACATTAATTTATATTATAACAGTTCAAATTTAATTTATTTTGTACATAAGTGCTTAAATACTAGGTGCTTAAGCTATAGCCTGAACTGATCATACAATCACCAACCTGAAAAAATAAATCAAAACCAAATCAAAATCAAAATTACAGAGGCTACGATTCAAAATTAAAATTAAAATCAAATTAACCAACTCTCCAATTTATACACCATACTCTCCAATTAATCAATTAACCAACTAACCAAATCCCCTGACTAATTCTCCTGTATTCAATATCCTAACCGCTGAGCTTAAAATCAAATTAACATACTTTACAACATATATGCTCACCATATTTCTTTCACACATAGCACTGTTATAAGATAACTTTTCCCTTGAGAAGTCCATTTAGGATGCTGAAATAGAAAAAATTTAAACAGTTAGCAACCAAATTATCAAATCGACAAAGAAGATGTTGAGAATGCACAGAAAACCAGTAAAAAAATAAAGAGAAATCCACGGTATCACCTCATTTCTTAATCCGTAAGACATACAACAATTATACTCCACCAAATATATAACAAAAATCACCAAACCATACTATGTGAAACATGCTTAGATCTACAATCACCAAACCCACCTGTTTGTGGTTCTTCTTCCTACTGTTTTACTATATCATAAGCTTTTCATGCTAAGATCTCAACATTGTTTATTATCATCCACAATACTTCATCATCTTCAAACAACAACAACATCAACCACATCAACAACAAAAATGTATCCAACACAAGACTAACTCTAAGTTCTGGATTCGAAAAAATGGCACAAAGGAAAATTATCGGGACGAGTCGCATACTAGGTCGCTTTCTTTAAGACGTTTCGTCGTACTGTCAATAGTTATGCAAAGCAATCGAGTTTCGACGACGTCTCCAGGATAAAACAGCCCGTTCAAAAATACGATAATTACTTGCACTGTAATTAGTCGTTCGTAGAATGACACCTTCGGATGGTAAATAACCAGTCGTAGTATCTAGAAAGATCCAGTCGAAAAAACAGAAAAGAAATGTTGTAGATGAAGAGAGTAGAGAGAGAGAAGAGAGAATTTAATATTGCAAATTCTAGGATATATCAAATGAACCGAAAAATTCAATTTATAGGCAAAGAGTCCAACTGAATGGAACAAGTATAGTGGGAGAAAATCGTGGAAGATAGTGGAATTGGCACAGTCAAATGTAGTCGTTATTTTACTTGGTCAGCAAGTCACACGGACTCTTGGAGGGCAAGCATAACCAGTCAAAAATTAGATTAAGACTTGGTTTCTGTGCAGGACACGTCATCATTTCGTAATTAATTAATAATATTAATATTAATTAATTTTCACCGAATTAATTAACTAATGATAATTAATTTCCACTAATTCGGGTTCCAAAAAATTAATTCATCTAGACCGGACCGTACCGTACCGAACTGAGTCGAGCCGGCGGCGGCGCGCGCGTGTGTCTAGATGGCTTATGGGTGTGTCCTACCTCCTTTACAAAATTGGGTGTCTCTTGGGGCCCAACCCAATTGGCCAAGTTGGAATATATATACACTATTAATATTTATAATCCCTCATATGTGGGACTAAAATGAATCTTTTCAAATTTACTTCCATACTAGTTCTTACTTGTGCTCATTTATTGCCCATTTAATATCAATAAAACATTCCAACTCCCACTCCAAATTTACATCATACCAAGATTTCCAACAATCCCCCACTTGAATTTAAAAGGTGATTTTAGAAGTACGTCAAACGTTTCTAAGATTGTGCATAAGCAAAGGTGTCTACGACTTGAACCTTTGCGTAGCAAGTAGGATTCTGATTCAACAAGAGTGACATTATTGTCTTGAACTCTATCTCAGACATCAGACCCGCACATAACCTTTTCTTAAGGTGTATTCTAATAGCCCGTGCTTTAATGGCCCTGCACGTGTATCCCGGTTTAGTGAAGGCTCTAGAAATTCTGCCTCGCAATTCCATAGGAACCGACCCAAGTTCCACAATCACAAAGGTGAGTCTATCAAGAGTACTCCTGTAGCCTAGGTACTCCCTCATATAGAGTATAGATCTCATTAAGAGCTTTTATTATCTCATCCTCTTATTACTTCATGATTCATGTTTTATTTGCATGATCATCTCATATTACTCATAACTTGTTATTACCCATTGAACCTATTTCTTGGAATCTCCAGTCATCTAGGTCGGGTTACCATTATGAGCAACTCATTTTTTATAGGCATTAGTCCCATCTTTTTGGATGTATTATGAACTTTCTCTCTAGCTAACCCTTTCGTCAAAGGATCTACTAAATTATCATCAGTGCGTATATAATCCACTCTTACAGCTCCTTTAGAGATACAGTCTCTAACAGTGTTGTGCTTTCTTCTTATTTGACGTCTTTTACCATTATAATAAAGGTTCTCAATTTTTACAATAGTCGCGGTACTATCACAGTGGATCAGCACAACTGGCATAGGTTTTTCCTATAAAGGGATCTCAGCTAGTAAGCATCTCAACCAACTTACTTCTTCACTAGATGTGGCTAGTGCTATCATCTCAGATTCCATTGTCGACTGAGCTAGGATAGTTTTTTTCTTTGATTTCCAAGATACAGCTCCTCCAGCTATACTAAATATATAGCCACTAGTAGCTGAAGGAAAATTGCGATCAAAAGCGCAACGGAATTTAAAATTTTCCTTTAGCGATCCTTACGAATGAACATGGTCAGTGATAGAAATATTTACCTCTTGTGGCGATTCAGACCTTTGATGTTGTGATCACGAGCGTTGATAAAGAACAACGCCTCTACTCAGTCCACACGAACAGATCGCTTTCGGTCACAGTGCTAGCTGATCACGAACGGAAACCTTGAGTGAGAGAGAGAATCAAAAACGAAATTGCATCAAGTGAAATTGCTTCATCACAAGGGATCTATTTATAGAATCACTCGTGTGGGCTACAAGCTAAAAGCTCAATTAAGGCTATAAGCTAAAATCCCAATTAAGCTTATGGACATCATACCTTATGATGTACCATATATCACTTATCCACGTGGTACCTTACCACTTTTCGTATTACACTTAAGTGCACCGTATCTTACGGTGTTCCTTATTTATTCTATCTCTCATCAATTTGTCCTTATGTGTGTGACCTTGTAGGTTTTCGCGACGTTGGCAATTATATTAAATCACACATTTAATATAATAAACAGTGAGCGGTATCTAGCAACACATCACTGTTACCCAAGTCACGAAAATGTCATGTGATCTGACCAAACTTTTTCCGTGATAATATTTGTGTTGTATAATTACCCTTTTGCCCTCATGTCTATATTGAACACAAGACATACACTGTGTCACCCTTGTCCAGTTCAATATTGGGCCCTTGGACATTTATCCTGTTATGCAGGATGAGCAAATTCCATCTAGGTCACTCATGTCCCTTAGCATGCTTTGTGAAGTACCCATCAACCGTCTTTATAGTCATCCAGTTACGGATGGCGTTTGATCAGCAATAAAGTACTTGACTCTACATCTAGGGTCCATAGTGGTTTCAGGTCGAAGGGTGGTATACACCATTATCATCATGAGAATAACTTATGATACTTTGCATAACATTCTATGTAGTATTATCATAGCGGGTCAATCCAGTATAAATATTACTCCTAATATTCATACCTATGTCAAGACTTGATAACTCCTTATCTATGATCCATGAGATGTGATCATCAATCTATCTTCATAATAATCTTAATGCTTTAATGTTATCCCACTTCACATTAAAGCTTGACTACGGATACTTTAAGAATAGTGTCTTATGTTTAATGGGATCTCATGATTAAGTCACATTTAACATTTCATTAAACAAATAAACCATTCTAGGGACTTTATTATTTTGGAAAGCAAACATAATAAAGAAATGCCTTTTATTATTAATAAATAATTCGATACAAGTACCAAAAGTATTGGCCTCTAGGGCTTACACCAACAGTAGCTTTGGAATCATCTGACAAATTATTCAAATCTGCATCATTGTACCCTTCTAGTACAACAGGGAACTTCTGATAATGTAGGTCGAGATCCATGGTCCTTTTGAGGTACCTCATGACTCGTTCAATAGCTTGCCAATGCTCTTTACTCGGTCTACTCGTAAACCTGCATAACAATCCTATGACATATGCAATGTCGGGTCTAGTACAATCAGTGGCATACCTAAGACTGCCAATGATGCTCGCATATTCTGATTGTCTGACACTTTCTCCAGTGTTCTTAAACAGTTTCTCACTTAGATCATATGGTGTGCATGCGGGTTTACATTCAAAGTAATTATATTTCTTTAAGATATTCTCCACATAGTATGATTGATCAAAAGAAATTCCTTGTTCGGATCTCGTGATCTTGATACCAAGGATCACACTTGCTTCTCCGAGATCTTTCATATCAAATTTGTTGCACAACAGTGATTTCACATCATTAATGGTCTGAATGTTTGATCCAAATATGAGTAGATCGTCTACATAAAGATATATGATAGTGCATATGTGATTCTTAGATTTATAGTAAATGCATTTGTCACTTTCATTCACTTTGTACCCATTTGATATCATTAAGTTATCAAATTTTTCATGTCATTGCTTAGGAGCTTGTTTTAGTCCATACAAAGACTTATTTAACTTACAGACCTTGTTTTCTTGTCCATAGATTACAAACCCTTCCGGTTGTTCCATATAGATTTCTTCTTCTAAGTCACCATTTAAAAAATTTGTTTTAACATCCATTTGGTGTACTATTAAGTTATAAATAGCAGCAATTGAAATAAGTACCCTAATGGATGTAATTCTAGTGACAGGAGAAAAGGTGTCAAAGAAATCTGTATTTTCTATTTGTCTAAAACCCTTGGCAACAAGGCGAGCCTTGTATTTATCAATAGTTCCATCAGGTTTTAGTTTCTTTTACAAAACCCATTTACAACCAATAGGTTTGCAACCAGGAGGCAAGTCTACTAAGTTCCAGGTCTTGTTGGATTCTAGAGATTCTATCTCATCATTGATAGCTTCTTGCCATAAATCAGCATCCAGAGATGACAAGGCTTCTTGAAGATTCATTGGATCTTCTTCTACATTATAAGCCGCATATTCAGGCCCATAGTCTTTAGTAACTCTTACTCGTTTAATTCGTCGAAATTCTGTTTCTATATTGTCGTTGCTTTCTGTGCTTCTTGTCACCGGAATGTGACTCGATTGTGTGTCCCCACTATTTCTCAATTCGAAAGGAAATTTTTCTTCATAGAATTCAGCGTCATTTGATTCTATGATCACTTTTTCACTAGATCATAAAACCTATATCCTTTATTGTTTGCCACATACCCA